GTCGATATTGTCCGAAAATATGCCGACTAAGTGTGTTGAAGAAGTATGTAGCAATGTGCGAAATTTGCAAGAGGGTATCGCGCTTCTTACATTCCTCATACAACACACCTAGTCGGCATATTTCGGACAATATCGACGACAACCTTCCCAAACAAGTGAAAATGTGTGAAATGCAGACTTTCGTGTTCTAGATTTGACGTCACATTACCCACTAGAGCCATTCCTCTTTAAACTCGGTCGTGGGGCAAGATGGCGGCCGATTTTCCGTATTTTGATTGGGCACAGAAAATTGAAGATTTGAGCAAATAAAAAACTTTTTGCACAGAAATACTCCAAAAAAATACGCTTATTTCGTTAAGCGAAAAAAAATTTTTGGGTTTAGGTGCACTTTAAGTGAGTTTGCAAAAGCTTGCGATACAATAAACACTGATAAAGAGGTTTTTTGAAAATTGTCGCTTCGTTCCACCATTTCTCTACTTCTGGTGAATCATCTTTAGCGGATGTTTTCCAATCTACGACATAGACTTCGGGGTCATATCTCCCGGACTTTGATGAAAAGCGAGAGCATCTATCTTTCCAACATAGAAATCTACTTTCGATTTTCTGACAGCAAAGCCATAGACTTTAACTTCCGCTAGGAGGAATCTGCAATCAAACTTCTCCTCTATCTTTGTCAAAAACTGGCCTTCTGCACCATTTCCTGCTTTAATTTGCTTGTTGAGATTATGTTAAGTTTAAGCCATATTGATTTATTTGTTTATGCTTAATAGTAAGATTAGTCAGGCATCCCTAGCTATGATAGCCGCGGATGCTGGGAACGAAAGAAAAAACATTATGGGATAAAAAAAAAGCACATGGAGAGAGAGTTGGAAAAACTTAGAGAAGTGGGAATAAAATTGTTCAGTCTATTCGTGAGTATATTGTCAGAAGAAACATTTCCGACATGTCCTGCTAGTGCTTGGTGAAATTGTTGTCCTCTTTTTTTTTTTGAGGGACCTTCTACATTCTCGATCTTTCTTACATCAAATGAGTCCCTCACTTCACAAACTTTTTCCTTGGTATTTACCCTAAACTTCAAGCGAAATGGGAAATATATCAAATTGAAATAAGCCAAAGAGAACAATAAGAAATTGAATCTAAATTATGAGGATGTAAATTCGATCAACGAATGAATAAAGGCTGATAGTTTCTAAAGAAACTGTTTGGGGCTGCGTCGGTGGGAGTAACGAAATAATTTGGATATATCAAAAAAGTTGAAATGGTAAATTGGCCACCGTAACGATTACAAAAGCTGACGATTCGGAGCTCCGACGAAGGGCTAACGCTCGAAACGTCAGCTTTTGTAATCGTTACGGTGGCCAATTTACCATTTCAACTTTTTTGATATATCCAAATTATTTCGTTACTCCCACCGACGCAGCCCCAAACAGTTTCTTTAGAAACTATCAGCCTTTATTCATTCGTTGATCGAATTTACATCCTCATAATTTAGATTCAATTTCTTATTGTTCTCTTTGGCTTATTTCAATTTGATATATTTCCCATTTCGCTTGAAGTTTAGGGTAAATACCAAGGAAAAGGTTTGTGCAGTGAGGGACTCATTTGATGTAAGAAAGATCGAGAATGTAGAAGGTCCCTCAAAAAAAAAAA